CTTCCTGGAGTTGATTGACTATTTCGTTTCCCATATTAGGGAAGTTTTCAACTATAATCTCTTCGAATATTTTCTCAGTCCCGTTTTCTCTTCTTCTTCTGGGACCCTTATAATTTGAATGTTGGCGCCATTAATGTTGTCCCAGAGGTCTCTGCGACTGTCCTCAATTCTTTTCATTCTGTTTTTCTTTATTGTGCTCTGTAGTAGTTATTTCCAGTATTTTATCTTCCAGGTCACTTATCCATTCTTCTGCCTCAGTTATTATGTTATTGGTCCCTTCTAGGTAATTTTAAATTTCATTTATTGCGTTTTTCATCATTGTTTGCTCTTTAGTTCTTCTAGGTCCTTGTTAAACGTTTCTTGTATTTTCTCCATTCTGTTTACGAGATTTTGGATCATCTTTACTATGATTACTCGGAATTCTTTTTCAGGTAGACTGCCTATTTCCTCTTCATTTGTTAGGTCTGGTGGGTTTTTACCTTGCTCCTTCATCTGCTGTGTGTTTCTCTGTCTTCTCATTTTGCTTAACTTACTGTTTTGGGGGTTTCCTTTTTGCAAGCTTCAGGTTCATAGTCCCATTGTTTTTGATGTTTGCCCCCAGTGGTATGGTTGGTTCAGTGGGTTGTGTAGGCTTCCTGGTGGAGGGGACTGGTGCCTTTGTTCTGGTGGATGAGACTAGACCTTGCCTTTCTGGTGGGCAGGACCATGTCTGGTGGTGTGTTTTGGGGTGTCTGTGAGCTTAGTATGATTTTAGGCAGCCTGTCTGCTAATGGGTGGGGTTGTGTTCCTGTCTTGCTAGTAGTTTGGCATGTGGTGTCCAGCGCTGGAGTTTGCTGGGCATTGATTGGAGCTGGGTGTTAGCATTGAGATGGAGATCTCTGGGAGAGCTCTCACCGATTGATATTACATGAGGTCAGGAGGTCTCTGGTTGTCCAGTGTTGTGAACTAGGTTCTCCCACCTCAGAGGCTCAGGCCTGACACACGGCCGGAGTATCAAGACCCTGTCAGCCACACAGCTCAGAAGAAGAGGGAGAGAAAAAAAAAAAAAAAAGCAAGGAGGAATAAAAATAAGATAAAAAAGTTATTAAAATAAAAAGTTTAAAAAAGTAATTAGAAAATGAAGAGAGCAACCACACCAATAAACAAATCCAGCAGTGATAACAAGCATTAAAAAGTAAACTAAAATAAACATAAAACCAGAAACAAATTAGATGCAGAAAGCAAACCCCCAGTCTACAGTTGCTCCCAAAGTCCACCCCCTCAATTTTGGGATGATTCGTTGTCTATTCAGGTATTCCACAGATGCAGGGTACACCAAGTTGATTGTGGAGATTTGATCCGCTGCTCCTGAGGCTGCTGGGAGAGATTTCTTTCTCTTCTTTGTTCACACGGTTCCTGGGTTTCAGCTTTGGGTTTCGCCCCACTTCTGCGTGTAGGTCGCCTGAGGGTGTCTGTTCTTCAGTCAGGCAGGGCGGGGTTAAAGGAGCAGCTCATTAGGGGGCTCTGGCTCACTCAGGCCAGGGGGAGGGAGTGGTACGGAGTGCGGGGCGGGCCTGCGGCGGCAGAGGCCAGCGTGACGTTGCAACAACCTGAGGCATGCCATGCGTTCTCCCGGGGGAGTTGTCCCTGGATCCTGGGACCCTGGCAGTGGCGGGCTGCACAGGCTCCCTGGAGGGGAGGTGTGGTTAGTGACCTGCTTGCACGCCTGTCTCTGGGGTCCGGGCTGATAGCCGTGGCTCGCGCCTGTCTCTGGAGCTCGTTTAGGCGGTGCTCTGGATCCCCTCTCCTCGCGCACCCTGAAACAGTGGTCTCTTGCCTCTTCGCCAGGTCCATACTTTTCCCTGGACTCCCTCCCAGCCAGCTGTGGCGCAGTAACCCCCTGCAGGCTGTGTTCATGCCGCCAACCTCAGTCCTCCCCCGGTGCTCCGACTGAAGCCCCAGCCTCAGCTCCCAGCCCCGGCCGCCCCGGCCAGTGAGCAGGCAAGCCTCTCAGGCTGGTGAGTGCCGGTCGGCACCGATCCTCTGTGCGGGAATCTCTCCGCTTTGTCCTCCGCACCCCTGTTGCTGCGCTCTCTTCTGTGGCTCCGAAGCTTCCCCTCTCTGCTGCCTGCAGTCTCCGCCCGCGAAGGGGCTTCCTAGTGTGTGGAAACCTTTCCTCCTTCACGGCTCCCTCCCACTGGTGCAGGTCCCGTCCCTATTCTTTTGCTCTGTTTTTTCTTTTTCTTTTGCCCTACCCAGGTACGTGGGGAGTTTCTTGCCTTTTGGGAGGTCTCAGGTCTTCTGCCAGCGTTCAGTAGTTGTTCTGTAGTTGTTCCACGTGTAGATGTATTTCTGGTGTATCTGTGGGGAGGAAGGTGATCTTTGCTCTTACTCTTCCACCATCTTGTAGGTCCTCTCTCAAGGTGTTAGTTTTTATTTTATCTTCCCTTATGCTTTCTTCAGTGCTCTTCCTTTATGTAGATCCAGGTTTCTGACCTATATCATTTATTTCTTTTTAAAGAACTTTTTTTTAAACATTTCTCACAAGGCAGGTCTAATGGGAACAAATTCCGTCAATTTTTGTTTGTCCGAGATGGCCTTAGTTCTCCTTCAGTTTTGCAGGTTACTTTCACAGGGTATGGAGTTCTACATGGGGAGGTTTTTTCTCTCAATTCTTTAACTATTTCACTCCACTCTCTTCTTGCTTACATGGCTTCTGAAGAGAAGTTGGATATAATTCTTATCTTTGTTCCTCTATAGGTAAGGAGTTTCTCCTCTGTTTTCTTTTGAGATTTTTTCTTTATCTTTGATTTTCTATCATTTGAAAATGATACGCCTCTGTGTAGTGTTTTGGTAATTTGTTCTGCATTGTGTCCTCTGAGCTTCTTGGATCTGTGGTTTAGGGCCTGATACTAACTTGGGGAAATTTTTCTGTCAGTGTTTTTTCAAATAGTCTGTTCCGTCCTCTCTTCTCCTTCTGTCGTTCCCATTATGTATAAGTTACATCTTTTGTAGTTATCCCATGCCCTTGGATATTCCACTCTACTTTCTTAAGTTTTTGTTCTATTTGCTTTTTGGAGTTTGAAGATTCTGTGGCTAAATCCTCTGGCTCTGAGCATCTTTCCTCATCTGTATCCACTTCTACTCATAAACCCATCAGAAGTATTCTTCATGTCTTTTAAGGTGTTTTTTTCTCATCTATTTTTGGTTCTTTTTTAGGATTTCCATCTTTCTGCTGACACTGCCCATCTGTTCTTGCACGTTCTCTACTCTTATGTTAGGACCCTTCGTATATTAACCACAGTTATTTAAAATTCCCAGTCTGATAATTCTTACATCCCTGCTGTGTCTGATTCTGATGCTTTCTCCATCTCTCCCGTCTCTTCAAGTTGTGATTTTGCCTTTTGGCATGCCTTGTGATTTTTTTCCTTGATAGCTCTACATGATGAACCAGATGAAAGAAATTGCTGGAAATAAGCCTTTCATGATGTGGTGTAAAGGTGTGGTGGGAGGGCAGTGCCCACAGTTGCGTGATTAGATCTCAGTCTTCTGGTGACCCTGGGCTTCTGAACTGAGAATTTTCCAGCAGTTTCTCAGGATTTTTCTCCGCACTTGGGCAGAATGGTTAGAGTCGGCTGGAGTCAGGAATTTCCCTTCTCTTGGGTCAGCTCGGCTCTACAGGATACACCAGAGCAGGTGGGGCTCTGGTTAACTAGTTTCCCCTGAGGGCAGGCCTTATTGAGAACACCAGGGTGCTCTGACGTATTTCACAATAGTTCCTTCTCTCCTCCTCCTGCCAGAAGCTCAAGAGAATTTTTCTTCAGTACTTACTCTGGGAACTTGGTTGAGCTCCCGGAGATAAATCTCAATAAAATTGGAGCCTCTCTATGACTGGGTCTTCCAGAAGGTTTTTACTTCTCCGACTTGTCTGCTCAGAGCCCCCAGCAATTTGTCAATTATAGTTCAGGTTTCCCTACCCTGGCACTGGTTCTTGGTGTTTGCACTCATGAGCCCCTGCTCTGGTAAGCCTTAGCTCCTGTACTCCGCCATCTGTCTCTGTTGCCCTGTGTCCTCTCCTCTCTTCTGGATCCAAGAAGAGCTGTTGGTTTTTTCAGTCTGTTCAGCTTTGTACTGGTTGTCATGACAGAGTGGAAACTTCCAACTCCTTACCTGCAGAACCAGAAAACAGAAGCCTTAAATTAGATTTAAATAAAAGAATCCTACAAAATATTTACAATGTACGTAATTAAGAAAACTTTAGCAAACATAATATGTAAATTGTTCTTAAAAGTAACTGTTTTGTAAAATCTCCGAACAATCATTTTACAGTGTAAGAAATACAAATGATAAATGTATGTAAAATTAATTTTATTATTAGTCCAGAGAAGGCAAATGTGTGACTAATATATATTTTTACCAGTAAATTTCAAAATAGTATCTAATACTTCTGGGGATGTGTGAAAACTATCTACTCACTCTAAAGGTAGTCTGGAAATTTTATTTGTAAAATAAAATTTACACCCCGCCATCACTTCCAAGTATACCTAACTAGGAATATTAAGCAAATATGTTTATTTTAACATCGTTTATAATATGTAAAATTGGAAATAATTTAAAAATATGTCTTCAGCAGCATAGTGTAAATTGGGATGCAGTGAAATAATATCAACTAGCAGAACTCAGTGAAGTGATGGCTTTTATACAGTTATGTTGGAGAAAATCAAATTATAAGGCAGTATGTATATTAGAATCTATACAAATGTTAGCAAACATACACATAAACTCTTAGCAGTGGTTTTCTCTGAGAGATAAGATTATACTTTTTACTTCTGTGTTGCTTGCTTTTTATCATGAGTGTCTCTCTAAATGAAATAAAATAATAAAATCTTGCTGCTAGAGCTTTTTTTGGAGCATGGTAATAGGCAACTAAAGAAACACACGCATTCATGTCTTATTATCTGTTCTAGAAGATGAAATGGTTTTTACACAGACAGTAATCCCTTTTTCTCTTCTCCTGCTAGGGAAAGGTGAACATGGGAAACCTTACCCCCTCACTGAAGAGGACCACGATGAGTCAGCTTACAGGGAAAATGGTTTCAATATTTTTGTCAGCAACAACATTGCTCTAGAGAGGTCCCTGCCAGATATCCGCCACGCAAAGTGAGTGTCAGCTCACCTCTGTGCAGAGCGGTTTTTCTTTTGTCTCTTTTGATTCATATGTTTGATGTATATCATGGTGAGATACACAGTGAAAAACTTTGCCCTATTAATTGTATAGAAGCTGTTTATACTCTATAATCATATATATATATTGGTTTTTGTTCTTTTTATTGAAGTATAGTTGATTTACAATGTTGTGTTAGTTTCAGATGTACAACAAAGTGATTCAGTTATATGTATGTGTATATATGTATATAGTGTGTGTGTGTGTGTGTATTCTTTTTCAGATTCTTTTCCCTAGAGAAACTTAATGGTTACCAAAGGGAAAAGGTGGGGGGAGGATAAATTAGGAGTTTGGGATATATACACTACTATATATAAAATAGCTAACCAACATAATCTTAAATACTTTTTATTTAAATTGAAATAACCTTTAAAATTCCAGAAGAGTCACTGTCGACTCTCAGAAACTTAATATTCATTTTCATTATTAGGTTGGTGGTATGATCTCCATTTAAACCGAAGTGCTTTCAGATGACATCTATTATAACTTTGCGTTTGATCGTGTACATTATGAAGCTCATGTTTTTCTCTGGTAATTAGTGCTGTCAGAACTGTCTACATGTGCATGCCTTCGACCGACTGCATTCTCACCTCGGCCTTATCAGTGCCATTGTTGTTACATTTTCTTAGAAAGTGCCTAACATGAGTGCATCCATAATCTAAAGGTAATGTTTGGTTGCTCAGTTTCCCATCACTTAGGAATTGCTTGTGGCTTGTCAGTTGACAGTGGGCTCAGTTTTTACTGAATTGTAGCTAAATATTGTAGTCTCAGTGGAAACAAGAAGAATATTACCTACAGTTGGCTGAAAGCCTTCTTCTCTCTGTCTACCCCTGTCTAATCCTAACATTTTTGCTTAATGTACTTTTATTTTCTTGTCTGTTATGGTTCTCTTATTAGCATATGCTGTGCCAAAAGTATGCCAAGAACATAGAATGTGGGCAGAATTTGAAGTTGTGGCATTGTCATGCATATTTGTTAAATCTATCCAGCTAATAGAGCATATTGACTTTTGCAGTTCATCTTCCTTTAGAATCATTGGTGTGAGAGAAAGAAAATTGGAGAAAATAAAGGGCATAAATGAAACCAGGACTAGAAATCTAAATTAAACCAGTAGTGTACATTATGTAAATCTCCTTGTGCAAAAATAATTAACCCATCAGGGAAAAACAAATCAGTACATTGTGGTTAGGAGGACTATTTTTTAGTTGCCATATTGTATCTTTATAAATTTTTTTTTTTAACATCTTTATTGGAGTATAATTGCTTTACAATGGTGTGTTAGTCTCTGCTTTACAACAAAATGAATCAGTTATATATATACATATGTTCCCGTAACTCTTCCCTCTTGTGTCTCCCTCCCTCCCACCCTCCCTATCCCACCCCCTAGGTGGTCACAAAGCACCGAGCTGATATCCCTGTGCTATGCAGCTGCTTCCCACTAGCTATCTACCTTACGTTTGGTAGTGTATATATGTCCATGCCTCTCTTTCGCTTTGTCACAGCTTACCCTTCCCCCTCCCCATATCCTCAAGTCCATTCTCTAGTAGGTCTGTGTCTTTATTCCTGTTTTACCCCTAGGTTCTTCATGACATTTTTTTTCTTAAATTCTCCATATATGTGTTAGCATACGGTATTTGTCTCTCTCTTTCTGACTTACTTCACCCTGTATGACAGACTCTAGGTCTATCCACCTGATTACAAATAGCTCAATTTCATTTCTTTTTATGGCTGAGTAATATTCCATTGTATATATGTACCACATCTTCTTTATCCATTCATCTGTCGATGGGCATTTAGGTTGCTTCCATGACCCGGCTATTGTAAATAGTGCTGCAGTGAACATTGGGGTGCATGTGTCTTTTTGAATTATGGTTTTCTCTGGGTATATGCCCAGTAGTGGAATTGATGGGTCATATGGTAATTCTATTTGTAGTTTTTTAAGGAACCTCCATACTGTTCTCCATAGTGGCTGTACCAATTCACATTCCCACCAGCAGTGCAAGAGTGTTCCCTTTTGTCCACACCCTCTCCAGCATTTATTGTTTCTAGATTTTTTGATGATGGCCATTCTGACTGGTGTGAGATGATATCTCATTGTAGTTTTGATTTGCATTTCTCTAATGATTAATGATGTTGAGCATTCTTTCATGTGTTTGTTGGCAGTCTGTATATCTTCTTTGGAGAAATGTCTATTTAGGTCTTCTGCCCATTTTTGGATTGGGTTGTTTATTTTTTTGTTATTGAGCTGCATGAGCTGCTTGTAAATTTTGGAGATTAATCCTTTGTCAGTTGCTTCATTTGCAAATATTTTCTCCCATTCTGAGGGTTGTCTTTTGGTCTTGTTTATGGTTTCCTTTGCTGTGCAAAAGCTTTGAAGTTTCATTAGGTCCCATTTGTGTATTTTTGTTTTTATTTCCATTTTTCTAGGAGGTGGGTCAAAAAGGGTCTTGCCGTGATTTATGTCATAGAGTGTCCTGCCTATGTTTTCCTCTAAGAGTTTGATAGTTTCTGGCCTTACATTTAGGTCTTTAATCTATTTTGAGCTTATTTTTGTGTATGGTGTTAGGGAGTGATCTAATCTCATACTTTTACATGTACCTGTCCAGTTTTCCCAGCACCACTTATTGAAGAGGCTGTCCTTTCTCCACTGTACATTCCTGCCTCCTTTATCAAAGATAAGGTGACCATATGTGCGTGGGTTTATCTCTGGGCTTTCTATCCTGTTCCATTGATGTATCTTTCTGTTTTTTGTGCCAGTACCATACTGTCTTGATTACTGTAGCTTTGTAGTATAGTCTGAAGTCAGGGAGCCTGATTCCTCCAGCTCCATTTTTTGTTCTTAAGATTGCTTTGGCTATTCGGGGGCTTTTGTGTTTCCATACAAATTGTGAAATTTTTTGTTCTAGTTCTGTGAAAAATGCCAGTGGTAGTTTGATAGGGATTTTTAAAATATAAAAAAATTACTGGTTCGCTCCTTAGGTTTTATGTGAATTTGCATTTCCCAATAGTGTTAAGCAAAGAATTAATGTGAAGAAAAAATCCATTTTCCCCTAAGCTGAATGCTTTATATATTGGTCTAGGTCTTCTATCTAGGAAAATTATTCCCATGTCACCTGAAATTACCTACGGTAATTCCCACTGACCGAGAACGTTTCTAGTTATGAGAAATTTTAATACCTAATTACACACCATCAAAGATGCATTAACTTGCATTGTTGCCATAATAAATACGCTCAGCGCATAATTTCCATTCACTCCACCCCGACACTGCTAATCTTTTCATGTGTATTCAAGTGGAAATATTTCAGATGAAAAGAGTTCAGAAAATCATGGAAGTCAAAAGAAAGCTGATGTTACCGTTCTCCACAGAGAGTATTTTATAATGCCACTACCACTTGTTGAGAAAAGATATTCTTAGGCAATAATGGAGAAGAAGATGGAAAAATGGAAAGAAAAACATTTTGAAAATTTTATCAGAGCTACTAAATTTATAGTATTGGAGGGTATTTTTCTAAACGTTAGGGAAGAAAAATATGGCTAAAACATGGTGTGTGACCATATGCTTACTTCCCAAGGCTGGGTATGTAATAGGACAGACACTAGTAAAATGATACCAAGAAGAGAACTCCAACGAACAAGCAGTCTTAACAGAAGATTGGAGAAGCATGCCAGCAGCATGTTAAGTGTGAGATCCCAGGAATGGTCATTTACTTCGTTTGTCCAGTTTCTGACTCTCAGTAACGCAGGAAGCGAAATGAGATGATGCCTCTGATTTTGTCAGCGTGCCACCTGCAGGAAACCGGAAGCCAAAGAAAGTCTTACAGGGATCCCGCCGTTTAAAGTCCTATGCTTTTGACCTCGGTTATGCTTCCCAGAATGCAGGCATAGATAATTACAGGAGTATGTAACTCTATCCTTCAAATTGTAGAAGCAGGCGGACACAGATTCCAGTGTTATCAATTTAAGGAGGCTGCAGGTAATTGACCGTGGCTCGTTTATATTGACAGAATCTATGGAAGAGAATGCAAAATGTGTGTGACTTTTATAATCAAACGTAACAGTTCTAAGGAACGTTGCATTTGCAGTCAGCCAATTCGAACTACCAGCTCAGAGTGCCAGGAGAGAGGACGTCATTTTTCTTTGCTTTAGGATTTTGCAGTGGAAAATATCCGGGAATACCATCTTGCAATTTTCCTGAACTTGATCGTTATTCCAAAACACATCATCGTGGTTCTTGCTACACTGTTCTACATGATAGATGACTCTCTGTGTATATGCCCATGCTCTTTACCTCTTCGTATCCTCAAAAATGTTCATGGTTCTAGGTGCTTTGACATGCTTAGTGCACAGTCTAGTCCACTGTGAGGAATATTTAGAACATGAATTACTTCAGAAATCCCAATCCAGGGAGCACTTTCATTTGTCCCACTGCTTACTTCTTCACTGGCATAAAAATGAACAGCTTTCTTTTGGCTTTGTTATTTCATTGAATCAGTAATAGATTCCCATTAAGTAGGAAGCATAGATAAAGGAAAGTCAGTTGGCATGTGTGCAGTAATTTAAATCTATACAGAGCAAGAACATTTGTACTTATATCCTAATAATAAATTTCTGTCTCTTTTAACTTACATTTTGAATTTCTTGTGTTTTTTGTCCAGTTATTCTTAGCATCCCCTTATAAATTACATTTTAGTTTTTCATGCCATCTATGCTTTGGTCTTGTCAAATTTTCTACCTCTTCTTCCATAGTCATAGCCTGACACTTTTGGTTGACTTTTGTACTTTTTTGGAGAAGTGTCTATATGATGATAGTTTAAGTACTCGCTGTTTTCTTCAGTTACTCGCTAATTATGTCTATATCTATAGTACCTGGGCTCAATCTCAGAGCACCTGAGTTCAACCTGTCCTTAGAACATCTTATTTTTTCCATTTTATC